AAGACTTTCAGGCTTTGGAGAAGTTGTAGCTGTGATGAACTCCATCATAATTGGAATCTAAATCTTCCTGTCACCAGAGGGGTGGAGGCTGGAGTGTAGCTGAAGATGAAGGGTCAGAATCTCAAACAGTTCTGATGCAGTGACTTCCATAGGGAATGCCCTGGAACTTTCAACTCCCAATTCCCAAGCTTCCCTCTGTCCGAGACTTTGAGTTGGAGACAGCAGGCGGATCTGACTAATGTTCATGGATTGATATCCAGCAAACATTAGACAAAAAATTCATGCTCTAACTTCTGGGAAACACAAGAACTGATCACCCCCAGCCATTCACACTAACTCCGAACCGCCAACTTACCCCCTATGCCTGATCTAATTACCCCTTCCCCCATTGACTACCTCCTGGATCACCCAAATACCCACCTGAACATAGCTACCACCTCACGAACATGCCAAGGGTCACAGAGCAAAACGCAAGAAAGTGGAGCTGAAGCCAAAACCAGATCAAACGTGACCTTATTACATGAAGGAACAGGCCCTACAGAGTCCAAATAGCTTCATTGTGTCCTAAGTCCTATGTTTGTTTTACACTCACCCCTATATCACACCCACTTTCCTCACCAAACCCCACCTTATGCATTCTCTGGTTTTCAGACCTCCCCAGCTAATGCAATTAAATGAAGATTGGGCTTGTGATTTACGCACACATCATCTGGTTCTGTTTCGGGGTTTAAAAAGAACAACACGGCAGGGATTATTTGACACGATCACCATAGGAACACTTAGCGATTTTCCTAATCAAGCAGCTGTACCTTGAAGGATATTCTGTCCATTAGTGAGATAAACATTTTTGTTCCAGTGAAAATGCCCAGATCTCGAGAATAGCTTCAGTTGTGAGTTTAACCATCCACCGTTGCATTTAAGTAATTACTTCCCTTAACCAATTATTCAGCTTTTAAACATTTAATGTTATCTGATTAACCTCATCATGGCATAAAGACTCAGACAAGACAGAAGGAGGTTATTCGGCCCATTGATTTCCCTTCTTTCCCACAGTCGAGTATTTGTTCCTTTTCCATTTACTGATGTAAGTTATGATTGAATTTGTTTCTGTCGCCCTTTCAGATCGTAACAACCTGCTGCATTGAAATAAAATTTCCCCTTGTCTGCCCTCTTGGCTATTTTAGCAGTTACCTTAAATTTATTTCCCTCGGTTACTGACGTTTCTGCCAATGAAAACAGAGTAAATGCGGAGAAATTCTCTAAACCCTTCATGGCTTTTTAACACAGCTTATTTTGTGCACCTTCTCTATCTGCCTGACCCCTGGGTTGGATGAGGAGGCAGAGTAAGTATGTGCATGAGTGATGACAAATCATCACCTTCAGTGCATTATTAATATTCAAGGCCTCTGCCAAGCTATTGACAAATGAATATTTACAGAGGAGATGCAGAGGATAAAAGAAATACATATTTTACTGATAAACTCTCATGACTTGAAATTTTCTTTTCAAATTCTTTGCCTGAAGAACACCTTACAATGCAGTGTCACAGCCACCACAGTATATAGGACAAGGATGCACATTCGGAATCTATCCTAGCTACAACAGGGAATCGGAACGCTGGGCTGTCAAACTGTCCATCCATCTGAGTTTTGGAGACATTTGAGAGTTAATCTTTCACCTTTTGGCCACAAGATGAATGCACATCTCTTACCCATTGGGTCTCGGAGTGGGAGCTTGAAGCTGGAGCCTCATTCTCAGAAGCGGAGATGGTACAGACCATTCCTCACGACCTGCCCCCTCTGCATCCAAACCATTTCAATCCTTTCCTTAGAGAAAACACAGCGTGGAGCTGGAGGGACACAGCAGGCCAGGCAGCATCAGAGGAGCAGGAAAGTTGACGTTTCAGTTTGGGACCACTTCTTCAGAAATGGGCTGACCCAAAATATCAGCTTTCCTGCTCCTCTGATGCTGCTTGGCCTGCTGTGTTCATCCAGCTCCACACCTTGTTATCTCAGATTCTCCAGCATCTGCAGTTCTTACTATGTCTTCAAAATATAAAGGCATTTTTCTTGGAAATGGACTCTTCATAATGACACGGTTCCCACAGAGCTCTGAGGAAAAAGCAGATATTCACCACAGAGAGACACCACCAGCTGTACCTTCCTCTCCTTTTCTTGTTGGGGTTGGGCAGCCCTGCAAACCCAATACACCCAGTCTCATCAAATTGGAAGAGTTTGCATTGGTATGGCGCCTTACAAGTGGATCGCTAACTCTAATTAGATGCATGCCTGGAGATTACATCATGAGACTTGCTGTCTCCAACTGCCCAACCCAGGGGCAAAACCCATAAAAAGCCCTAAGTAATTAGCATGGGTGTTTGAGCCAGCTGTTGTTAATACCCCCGTGATCCTTCACTCTGTCTGAGTTTAGTTCAGTGTGGTTTCCTGCAAATTTCAATCCTGGAAATTTGAGGACCCTTGGGGGCAGGAGGGGTGTGACCCGGTGGCTGGGCAATCCTGTCACATGACCCCATTCCAAAGTGCATAGTCACTTTCTGTGCTTCCTGCTGTCCCAACTCAAAGCAAATGCAGGAATATTTCTCCTGTGCTTTTGCAACGCTGACCAATTGAAGGTAAAGCCCCCTCATTACTGACCTTAAAAACCCCCTCAAACACAGCAGGTTTCTCAAGAGACCCTGCATTCAGCTTTGGATTAGCTCTGTAATTACAGCCCCTCGACATTGGCCAACATGCACTCACTGGCCATTTCAAAAGGATGGGCACTGGAGGGGTATAAATATACGGGCTGATGGGGATAGAGCAGGGGGAAATAGGACTGACTAAATTGCTCAACAGAGGGCCAGTCTAGGTTCAATGGGCTGAATGGCCTCCCGCTGCAGTGTTAGAAACTCTGACATTCTTGATGAAGGTTTAATTAATAAAGAGCTGTTTTCCAGTACACAATACCAGTCAGTGACCTTGTTTCCCTGCCAGTAAACAGAAGCCCCACAGCCTCACTGAGTGGATATGTTGGCTGCAAGCTATGGGTGGGGGACGTCCATATCCATATTCTCTCCACCACCACCACCACTACCTCCACCCCCACCCCCCCAACTCTCCGTTCTGGGTGCAGCTCGAAACTACTTTTCTAGCATTGTGTCGTCCTGGGGATGAAATCTGCTTTCTGCAGGAGTTGTGATTCTTTTCTCTTGTAAAATCTGGCACAATATCTGTTGTTCACCGAGGCTATCACTGCCTGTCACAGCCTCGTCCCATTCCTCACATTTGCTGTTGTCTCCATTGTCTGACAGCTTGGCCTGTTAACGCCCCGATCCTACCACACAGTTCAATGTTGCTGTGTGTTTCAACACAGTGTGGCTGTTGGTCAGGTGTAGACCCGTCAGTACAAGTGATAATCTAATGGCAGTGAGGTGCTAAAGAGGGTCAGCGTGCTGCCTGCCACAAAGATAGACAGTGGGGGAAGCGCACTGCAGTGAGAAGACATTGTGAGTGCATCAGTATAATTAGGGCATTGTCCTCCTTTTACAAGTTCAGCTACTAATGGCTTTTGTACGCAGGTTGGTTCAGTGCCGACATATAATGTGACTCAGAGTCGAGTCTTCCCCTGTTCTTGTGTGTACTTGCAACTTAATCAAGCTCTTTAATAATGACCTAATATACGAGTTTAGGATTACAAAAGGGTAGGTGTCGAGAAGATGTTTCCTCTTGTTGGGGAGACCAGAAGTGGAATCCATAAATACAACGCAGCGATTAAAATCCAGTGGGGAATTCATCTGAAATCTCTTTCCCCAGAATGGAGGTGCGGGTGTTGGACTGGGGGAGACAAGGTCAGAAATCATACGACACCAGGTTACAGTCCGATGGGTTTATTTGAAATTACAAGCTTTTGGAGCGCTACTGCCTTCATCAGGTGATTACAGAGCAGCACTGGGAAAGCTTGTGATTTCAAATAAACCTATAACCTGGTGTCGTGTGACTTCTGCCTGTTTCCCCAGAGAGTGGGGAGTATGTGGAGTGTGGGTGAGGTGAATTGATACATTAAAGGTGAAGTTGAATGAAAAATGCGAGAGAAAGGGATAGCATAGAATAGGGTGGAATGAAGAAGACTGGAGGATGCTTAGTACATGCATGCAGCCACCAAGTTGTGTGACTTGTGTTTTTGCTGTAAACTCTTTGTAAATACTGCAGAATTAAAATCTCAGTCCATTAGTTCAGTGACCAATTCTCTCAGAGTCCACCAATAAATCATTATTTCAGTCACTTCCTAAAATATTTGAAGTAATTATAAAATACTTATTTGCCCTGTAGAGTCTACCCAGTGGGTAATGTGGGACAACAAGGTGCAGAGCTGGATGAACACAGCAGGTCAATGTGGGAAATTGCCTAAAATAGCAGGACAAATCAGGCTGCCACAGATATTTTCCAAGGAGCAGGTGGGACTTGAAGCTGCATCTCCTGGCTCAGAGGCATGGACACTACCGCTGCACTGCAAGAGACACCACCACCTCCAACTCCATTTCTAAATTTCTTTCAATATTATTCTTATCAGAGATGTTATAACGCACCTTTGGGTCAGGTGGGGCTTGAACACTGGTCTTCTGGATCAAAGATAGGGACACTACCACTGCGTCACAACTGCACCTATGCTATACTCAACCTTCAGCAAAGTGAAGGAAGGCACAGCCTCTGCTATCGTGTAACATTTGGAAGAGGATCTTGTAGTGCAGTGGTAGTGCCCCTACCTCTGGTCCAGCATTAGAAGAGCACAGAGACCTGGGTTGGGTAGTGAGGGGTGCTGGATTTATAGAGGGGGCCAATTGACCTTCCTCTCATCAGTTGATAGATAGCCTGGCTGATCCTCCCCTTGTTCCTGTGTTCCTAGTTGGGAGTGAATCAGGAAAGGATGAGCATTTGTGATTTTATTTGTTGTTGTTTACAAAACATGACAGGAATTCTGTTTTTCCCTCTCGGATTGTTTAGCTGTTTCATGACATTGCCTACAAGGCGAAGGATAATGCCGATCTCCTGGCCGGAATTGACGAGTTCCTGGACGAGGTGATTGTCCTTCCTCCTGGAGAGTGGGATCCTGAGATCAGAATAGAACCTCCAAAGTCACTGCCTTCATCTGACAAAAGGTAAAGGGAACATTGCTTGGAACTGAAACATGGACACACTATGGGTCTTGCTCTTGAGATGTCCTTTATATCTGGGACTGTTCTGCATGCACAACACTACAAGTGCCTGGTAACTGAACTGCTCCCAGATGGTACACACAGAGGATAACAAAGACAACCTACTTCTCAAATGGTCTCTCAAATACTGAAACGAGTGTCCCTGCGTCCTTATGGGAAGATCCCATCTTGCAATTTGAAAACCGGAGAGTTGTCCGTGGTGCCTGGGTCAATATTTATTATCAATTGTAAACAAAGTCAGTGAGCTAGTTACTAATGGGGCCTGGTGGCACAGTGGTTTGTTCAGTGGGGGATGGATCTATTATCCAAAGGCATGAGATCAAATCCCATTGTAGGCCCTGAATTTAAGTTCAATTAATTGAATAAAAAAATCCAGTCTCATGATGCTGACTGTGAAACGACTAAATTCTTCTAAAACCCAGTGACTCCAGAACATCAGGGGCCCTCCATTGTTTTTAAGAAAGTGGCTGACCATCAACTTTTTAAATGCATTTAGGAATAGGTCATAAATTCTGGCATTGTCAGTGATATCTGCAGGCTGAGAATTGTTTTTAAAAATCATATTCCCATTTGTGGGATCGTGCTGAGTGCAAATTCAGGGGCTAAATTTCCTATGTTACAGCACTTCAAAATTATTTCTTCATGCACTTTGGGATGTTCTTAGGCTGTGAAAGGCGCTAAAGGAATGCATGTATTTCTCTTATTCTGACCACCTAGAGACGGCACAGTGGCTCAGTGGTTGGCACTGCTGCCTCACAGTATCAGGGACCTTGGTTCGATTCCTGCCTCAGGCAGCTGTCTGTGTGGAGTTTGCATGTTCTCCCCGTGTCTGTGTAGGTTTCTTCCAGGTGCTCTGATTTCCTCCCACAGTCCAAAGATGTGCAGGTTGGGGTGGATTGGCCATGCTAAATTGCCCCATAGTGTCTAGGGATGTATAGACTATGTGGATTGGCAATGGGAAATGCAGGGATTGTAGGGTAGGGAAATGGGTCTTGATGGGATGATCTTTGGAGAGTCGGTGTGGATTCAAAGGACCAAATGGCCTGCCCTCACACCATAGGGATTCTATGATTCTAACCATAGCATGGTAAAGCCTAGCAAGTGGTGTTTTAGTCAGGGCACCTTCAGAGAGACAGGGCCAAGATCAAACTCATCTGGAAATAGAGAGGTCCAGAAAATAAATTAAAGCTCAATTGTCAATTTTTGGGGCATGCGACTTCAGAATGAAAGAAAATGTCCATTTTATGTAATATATATTTCTATTTGTAAGCCAAAATAATTGCAGGAGATGCAGGAAGAGAAGGAGGGTGTCTTGGTAATAATGTTTTGAATTTCAGAGATCAGCTTACCATGCCACAGGATCAAATAACCGATGGTGCCAGGTCAAAGGGCACACATTGTTATGGGTGTGTCTGGGCCTGGTTAGAGTTAGAAGGCTGAGACGGGGCAGCTTAATGGGAAACTAGACGAGATTACTCTAATATCAACAGTCAGATTGCCAGGGCTCGGAGAATGGAACAACAGAAACACTGAGTTAGAGAGCTCGCTGCAGCATATGTGAGAATGTAAGTAAAGGGTTTACAGCACTGTGAAAGTGAGAGAGTGTTGTTTTTAGATCAGGAGCAGCCCCAGGAGTGTAGGAAAGGTTCCCAATGCACAGGCAGCCCATGCTTAATAGAGTCCAGGTAGAGTCATCAATTCAGCTCAGTCTGTAGAGGCACCACAATCCATGGTTACAGAGAGAGGCACAGAAATCCTGTTAACATTGGGATCTATTCAAAACAGAAGGTTTAAAATGTAGAGATTACGCAAATATTTCCTCTCTGGGCCTCTGAGCGGCCATAAAAATGTACAGTGGATAACATCATTGCCCAGTTGGCACCATTATATTACATACTGGTTTGTCAGCCTCCAGTTAGCGCCACCAGTTACTTCTCAGGGCTTCTCACAAAAGGAACAAAAAATGTGATTTTGTTTTCTTATCTTTTCTCCTCAATTGGTTTACCGGTATCTGAAATTCCTCTAAGTCTCTCCTTCTGTTGCTCCCCCGTCAAGGGATCAAAGGGTGTGGGAAGAAAGGAGGAACAGGAGACTGAGTTAGATGGTCATGTTGTATGGCAGAGCAGACTTTGAAGGGCTGAATGGTCTTATTTCCTATATTTTGATGTTCCTCTATTCTGTTTTACCTCCAGTCTCTGCTGTTCCTCTGTACCACTTTACAGTTAATCTTTTCCCTTCCTGATAAATGGTCTGAGGCATACATTCTGATCCCCATTGTCAAACATGGGGAGGCAGGCCAGCTGTATCAGTGTGAATGAACACCAGGTGTGAGCTACGACATATTTAAACCTTTGCTAAATGTTCCTCCATCCCTGTCAAACACCCCTATTTCCAGTCCTTCAACTTCTCAATTTTCTTGTTACAGTTGGCTTCAATGTGCACAGCAAGATCCCACAAACAAGAACATGCAAATAACTGAACAGTCTGTTGGTTGACAAAGCTCACCCCCATCTTCCTAACAGCAGTGACGGATGGACAATAAATGTTGGCCGAACCAGTGACACCCATAACCCAGCACCACGTGTAAAAACACACTGTTCGGGACATGGAGGGAGCATCACCTCACATTTGCATGAATCAGTGCGCCCACCCTCAGCACTGACCCTCCGACAGTGCGGCGCTCCCTCAGCACTGACCCTCCGACAGTGCGGCGCTCCCTCTGCACTGACCCTCCGACAGTGCGGCGCTCCCTCTGCACTGACCCTCTGACAGTGCGCACTCCCTCAGCACTGACCCTCCGACAGTGCGGCGCTCCCTCAGCACTGACCCTCCGACAGTGCGGCACTCCCTCAGCACTGACCCTCCGACAGTGCGGCACTCCCTCAGCACCTACCCTCC